TATGTAACTTAAGAAGTACCAGATTGATTGCAGTAGTAGTGATAGTGGTGTGGTGGTGGTTGTTGTTGTGTTTTTTGTTGTGGTTGTGATTGTTGTTGTGGATATGTTTGTGGTGGTTGTTGTTGTGATATTGTACATGTAGGTTAAATTGATTTTGGTCCATTGCCTGCTCCTATTGATGTTCGTGCTTACTTGTATACCAGAACTTCAAGGTCAATAAAAAAAGAATCCTATCCTAGGTATAAAACTCGATCTACATGCTCCTACAAAAGCTCATATGATGTGTATCCTACTCCTCTCCCAATACGAGTTATTTCCTTATCGTTCTCAAGGAACCATACGTGAGACTTCTGCATCATGCGGCTCCGTCCCGAGCTTCTATCATCAGTCTTGTCATTAGACCACTATCTATGCATGTATTTTCAGCTTGGACTCTTGAACATTTTGCTTCTCTAGTGGTGGCGAACAATGTTGTTTTGCGTTGCGAAAAATGCTCGCATGTAGGTCCCAGCCTACTTCCTGCCCAAAAGAATCGCTCACTAGGTAGCCAGACTAGTGGGGGCCCTATTTGGAGACATACTGAAAATCATGCCTTTTGGGGTCAGTTTTTTAGGGGAAAGTTTGCCTAAATTTTGTGAAATGTATATGTAAAGTCAGTATTTATAGTGTATATTCCATTAGTTCGTACTAAAAAAATTTTCAATTAAGACTATTATATTGTTTTGATTGTTATGTTGTGCGTTCAACTCTACTTAAATACTTTGATAACATATGACAATAAATGATACATGTTATTTAAGTTGAAAATGATAAAATACTACAACTAGACGCACATTACTCGAAACATATAACATGCCTACAGCTACAGACGCACATTAGTATGACTACTGGGAGGATAAACCCACATATGGGTTATTGATCAATTAATCTTCATCATGGGAAACCTTCTTCATCTGACATATCAATGTCAAAAACACATCCTGTTTCCTCACTCAACTACGAGCGTAAACGTGCTTCTTCTAGCAAACCTTCTTCAGCACAATCGCATGCAATGCGACGAGGTTGTACCTATTTAACCTTATTGTCATACAATTATTTTCAACTCGAATACGAAATAATTTATGCTCCAATTGTTGCGGAGTGTCAATAGACATATTAATAGCAATTTGACGAGGCCAACATATATTGCAAGTGCGCAAGTCTTCACTCAAAACTTCTCTTTCATTCAAATGATATTTTCATTCCTCCGTCATTGTATTTACAGACCTCTATAAGAAATGTAAACGAGGATTTAGAGAATAGAAGAATGCATCCTCTAATGCCTAATGATGACTCATACTTTCAAACAATGTGTGTGGACTGTAATTTATTTTGGAAGTTAAGTATACAAACAAGGCGTTTACACACAATGAATTTATAGTGACATTGTGATGCAATCGTGGTCACTGTTTTGCCCATTGTGGCAAAAAAGTTAGAGATGAGGTAATGTGTTTGTGTATAAGAATTCAGTTTCTACAACCTGTAATTATGGCCCTCATATGCACACTGAAACATGACTGTGACAATAGATGGTGCATTGACTAATCACTAAACGATGTAGATGCTATGGTCACTGTTTTGCCAGTTGTGGCAAATATGCTGAAGATGAGGTAATGTGATTTCAGGTGTAATTTAGTGTTTGTTGCCTGTAATTATGGCCCTCCGAATGCTGACTAAAATATGATTGTGTGGCAATAGAGATTGTATTGACAATTCACTGAACGATATGGTCAATCTTAGTGAGTTAACACCACAGTGTGAGTACTGACTATTCAATTGACTAGACACTGTGTACTAAACTAAATAAACATAAGTGCATATTGCGTGAAGAACAACACACTCTTTACTTTCTCAGTGTTATCAATGTCATAACAACACACTTTTTAGCTTAGTGTAAAGCCATTAGTGTCTAGTCAATGTCATTGTTCACTCATCAATGTCTTTTCAGTGTAATAAGTAATTACCCAGCTTAATGCTTCTAGTAAGTTTTTTTAAAAATTTAACATTGTTGTGTCCAATAATTACTGTTGTGCATTTGTCCGCAGTGTAAACCCTACACTAAAATGTCAATAATATCATCATTTGGGTCTTCAAGCCAAACAAACGATGAGTCATACTTGAGCAACCAACGACAACATCGTGGTGCATAGCAGCATCAAATTCATCATTCATTTCACCATAACACAATAACTATATAGATTTTAGTGGTGTAACATGGTATGGAAACTTGCATTACTTTCTGAATGAGCCAATCAACGTTCATAACCCTTTCGCAAAAGTCAGCCAAGTAATGATTGGACCTGTAACCATTGCTCCGCCTCTAGAGTTCTATTATCACATACAGGGGATCAAGGTGGTTGAAATCTTATTTCACGCACTGTGAGCTTTAAGTATATTGTCGTTGGAATGGATTATAAGTGCCACAGGCACATTTAGCTGAATGTATGTGGAATGATGCACAAACAACTATGATGATATCATAGCAAGACTTGAACTTGAGAATGATCAGATGTAACAACGTCTATATCGATTCTACCTTATCAGAAAGACAAATTTTGAACATTTAGATCTTGTTAAGGCTATTAATGCAATAATATCCGATCCATTACTGACTTCTAATAATGAACTTTATGAGTTTGAAGAATCAAGTGATGATCATGATTATGAAAAATTTCTCCCTGTTGCTCTATGCATATGTGGAAAACCACTATGCTACAAACATGGTTGTCATTAGAAATATTTTGTTGTATTTATATTTCATGTCGTATGAAACAAAATCTTGTATTTCTATTTCAGATAAATAAATAAAGTCCCTTGATTTTGAAGGCTTTTTCTTAGTTCTGAATTTTTTTATTCATTGGGTACATGAAAAGTTTGACAAGTCTTTGGCATTTTATTCACAATTGGTTAAGTCTGGAAAAACGGATTAATTGAACCTTATATATTTCTGAACAACGTATTTGTTGAATCTGCATTCATTAAAAGCGGGTGAGAAAAGCGTATTTATTAAAGTAATTTTTTAACATATCAAAATACAAGGGGAAAAGCCATGCTCTATGAAAATGGATTTATAGGCTAGTTTACTCACAAACAAGATTGGTTTGAAAAAACATATTTATTGAACCCGCTTATATATGAAAACGGATTCAACAAATACACTTTTAGGAATGCCCTTACTTTGAAAAAACGTAATCAACAAGTCCACTTTAATTACAAGCAGATTCACCAAATATGCTTTTATTTGAAAGTGGATTTATTGACTAGGCTTTCGAAAAGTAATGAAAGTCAGTTTTTTTTTTTTGACGAATAATGAAAGTTCAATAAAGCTGTTTTTTAACACTCTGATAAAGACCCTTTAAAAACAGATTTGTTCACTCCACTTCTAATGTGAAAGTGAATTTGTTGACTCCATTTTCAAAAAGTGTGGTAGATTCGTAAATAAGTTCAAAATTGTCGTAGATCAGTATTTAAGTTTAATAAGGGCTGTACATTAGTAATAATTTCGAAGCTTCATGTGGTTAGTACAGCATAACAGAATTCTCTCTAACAATCTGAGACACTAGACAAATGATCAGAGAAGCTACCTTTGAGCGATGTGAAACCTGTACAGAGACCACTATTCACCTACTAAGAGATTGCCCTAAAGCAAAAGCAATCTGGAGTCTGTTCTAAAGTAGCTAAAAATTCTTACTGACCAATCTACAAACCTACATAGATGGATTTGTCCCTAAACTATAGGGATAGCAAAGAAAGGGACTGGAGAGGTATGAGTAGGTCTCTTCACCTGTATGGCACATCTGGAAAGACAGGAACAAGGAATGCATCACAAAAACCCTACCCCGTCACATGTTGAATCAAATAAATGCTTGGCTACTGGTCCTAGAAACCGCAGAAGAATTTCAGGATGGCTAAAAATGAACACGGATGGAGCTCAAAAGGAAACCCAGGACCATCAGCTGTGAGAGGACAAATCAGGAATGATCGAGGGCTGGGGCAGATTGGTTTCTATGGGAAGCTGAATGTAACAAGAAGCATACAGGCGTAGCTCCATACCATTTACAAAGGCTTTGAACTGATCCAATCAAGCAAATATTAGGACAGTAGTGCTAGAAACAGATTCTTTAAGAGGCATACAAATTAGTCACCACCAACACGGAAGAAATTAATCCGCAGAGAGCTTTCATCGCAGACTGTAAACAACTAATGCAACTACATTACATTCCCACCACCCACACCCTCCGTGAAGGGAACTGCAGTACAAATGAGTTGGCAAACCTTGGAGTTCAACAAGAAGACACCTTTGCTGTGCTGGAATTGCCCCTAATGCTGTGGGGCACCTGTTTGAGTGACTTAGCTAGTATTTATATTTTGTTAGAGGGTCAATCTGACCCTATAACCTTTCCAATTTCCTAAAACAAGAAATCGCATCCATGCAATTAGCAACACGTTTTACCAAAAATAACTATCAGAAAAATATTAAGCAGGATATAATGAGGGAAAAGACCTTCAATATTATATTTAGATGGTCTTTTCCAACTTTAAGCAAGCCAATGAAACTTGTAGCAGGAGATAATGGACGAAAAATGAACCAATCTGTAAAGTGGTTGAAGTTTCATTAACAATAGTGCAAAAGATCCCATAACACCATCTAAAAAAAATATTTTCAAAATTTTTTATTTTTAGTCATGCACCATAACTCATTTACGTCGGCACTGTAAGTTGCTTCTTCCACTTGTAAAACCCATCCACTCGAAACAGCCCATTCATTAACTATGTAAGAAAACCCTTACAAGAACACAAACCAAAATTACAAAGAACTCGGGATAATGACTGAACTATACTTGAAAATTCTCTACATCCATTTTAGAAACACAACAAAGCAGCAATCTGAAGCAGCCCGGGCACCAGTCCAAATCTCACCAACGGAAATGTGAAACTAGATCTGCACAATTCTTAACCCTTTAACCAGAGGTGTTTTTCCTTGCAGCATAAACACGGTAAGCTGCCAATCCAACAATGGCCACAGCAGCTCCAACTGTAATGGTGAAAGACAATTACTAAATCATCCACTGGACCCCAACAAAAAAAAATAAAGCAAAACAAAATAGAAAATTAAGTCAAAAGTCCAGACCCCAACCAGTCACACAGTGCCACTCCCTATCAGTAACAATTGTGGAAGCAAAATGAAAGCCTTGATTTTAAGAATTTTCCACATTAGAAACAAAATCTTGAATTTCAGATGCACACCCTTTGTTTTGTTCAAATTACAATATCTGCATGTGTGTTGTGTGTGCATTTCACTCAAACAATCCCCTTGCGATTTGTATACATTTCAGACACCTTCACATATTGAACCAAGCAAACAAAACTATTGCTTTCTCTCTTTTTCCCCCTCACACACACGCTCCACCCAACCACCACCCTAACAGTTTACCACAAACACATCAAACCACCTCTACAACACCAACCCATCAACCACACCACCACATCCTTAATATGCACCTATGTTTGTATAAAGAGAGAGAGGGACAGAGACAGAGAGAGACCCACATAATCTCATGTAATTTTATGACAAACCTCTAGAGGTCTGGATATAATTAAGCCTTATAACAAGTTTGAATATATAGCACAACTGACTGGAGTAAAGATATGTCAGATAAATAATCAATACAACCACCAAACAATAGATCTAAAAATATAATACCATTGTAACAGTAAAAGCAACATATTTTATACACGCACCCAACAATATAGAACATAACCACTAAGCCAGACCAGCTATCCATTTACAAAGAAAATGTATTGGAATTTTTAGCACTGGTACAATCTAAGACCCATGATCTTTGCCCTATCCCATTTTTAAATCATTCAGAGAAATAATCAAAGGCATCAAAGAGAAAATTTTGATTTTGGTAAAATTTTCTGATTCTCTTTCCCCCTCCAAACTTCTGCAGCAAGTAAAGAAATAGAGCAAGCCCAAAAAATATCGGAGTGTTCTAACAGTCTCGATCAGTTCAGGAGCCAGAGAGGGGAGGCATTCAAGCTTTACCCAAAACGGGCATAGAGTGAAGAAATTTAATTGAACATGCAGCAAGCAACGTGTTCTAACGGATGCAATAAAAGATCAAAGTGAGTAACCTGTTGATCACCAGATCTATATTTCCAGAGCAATATACCTGATACAACCATGAGAGACCGGTTAATAAGCCGGTGGTACTGTTTACGGGTTCTCCCAGATTCCGTTTCTGGAATGCTTAAATGAGGGTGCTCCGCTGCAATTACAATCCTATGGAATACATTGTTGAAGTCTCCTAACTTTGTGCTCATAGGTATAGGAGCCTCTATTCCCAAATCCTGACTCACCTATGAAAAACAAATTGTAATAAAATATGTACTCAAAGTGGCAGGCGTAATAAGCAGCCAAGACAATTAGATGAAGGAAAACAATTACAGCATAACAAATGGAAATCTACCTATACATCCAGGACCTCCATGGGCCTTACAGTTACACAAATCCAAACATGAAGAAAACAAATACAAAGCAAACAAAAGGAAAGTAGATATACCTCATCTCTATTATCCTGCACTATAAGCACATAAACATGCAGCCCTATTAGTTGGATGTCACTATTCTATGGGATTCAGTCGTATCCTGTAAACTTCAATATATTTCTAATCACATCTCACATGTTGAGACTGCAAATGTACTTTGAATAAAGTTAACAAGGAAGAAAAAACAAACTTTTATGCCTGAAATGTGAAAAATATGGTTTGTTTTCCAATTCCGAGTATGCAAAAAAAAAAATACAGCCACCAAATAAAAAATATGATTACCCCAAAAAAATGTAGATGCTGATTAAGAGATATCCATGTTTCTACCCAGGTTTTAACCAATATACATACCCTTGTTGAGTCTTGAATTGCAGTCATATATGGATCCAGATCATCTTTTGCCGCAACAATGAGACAAGGCACCTCATATCCAGTAGCTTCCCCTTGACTAGCAACGTCAACAAGCAATTCAGTTGACATCTTCCACGATGGCTCCAAAGAACTGGAAAAGCAAAGGCACAAAATTAAGTAAACTCAAAGGCATATATAATGTAGCCACAAGTTCGATCAGGCAAGGATACTAGCATGGCAAATCCTAAACATTACAACAGACGCCGTACGAATTAACAATACAAGTGTAAATGAGTGTCAGTGAATGTATGATGTTTTGAAAGCAACGTCACATCAACAAATGATATAAAACAATGAAACAAAAGACAATACATAGGTAGCATTCAAATAACAACAATGAAGGATGTAAGAATCATAGTAATACAAAAAGAAGTGGTATCAAGAATAAACATCAATAGGGGCATTCTTCATATGCAATGAAAATACACATACCAAGCAAGCACCTATAACACACATGCATAGAGACAGACATAAAAGTTTGATGGGAATCATTATATGAGTGTGTATGTTTTGTGGGCAAAGTAAACAACTGAACCTCGTGATATTTTCATTGAACATTTAAAGGGCAAAAATTTTCACGATTTGTATTGCTATTTTTTCTCTGTTTGATAATATAAGATAGCATAAGATAACAGAAAGGAGAAAAGAAGGAAAAGGTATAGGTGCAGAAACACTTGCAAGAATGAAGAGATGGGGAAAAGCCCTAGAATCCTCTAGTGGCCTCGAGTCCACAAGGAGAGAGTAGGGAGAGGAAAGAAATGGGAGAGGCCAGTGAAAGAATAGATGAGACAAGAGAATAGATTAAGAAGAATTAGGGCAAGAAGAAGAAGAATATAGATGAAGGGAAGAAGGGTAGAGAGGAAGGAGAAGAGAGAAAAAGTGAATCAAGCTATCCAAAAACCTAGAAAATTCCCATACTGAAGGCCTCTTTTTAACATCTCCAAAACCCTAAAGATATGCCAAAGCACAAAAATAACCAATAACTGATTATGACAAAGTATAAGGCCTTCAAACTCATTCTCTCACACTCAAATCTACCTCAAAACTAGAAATTCAGCAAGCTTATCTGGCAAAATTTCTATTAAGCACTAAGAACTAAAATATGGTGTCAAATTGTTTTCTTTTGCGAACTCACCTAATCCGAAGAAATAGCACCCCTAGCACCTTCACCAATTGGAGCTGCAACTAGTGTGTTTGACAGCAGAGAGAGATGTAAGAAGATTTTTGGACGAGAGAAGGGGTGTGTAACGGTGAGGCGGGTTGGACTATTTGTGATTTTGGATTGTGACATAGGTTAGACGATGCTCATGTAGGGTATAGGAGAGAGAGTGCATGACATAGAGGGGAAACAGAGGGCGGATAAGGGTGGGTGATGGCAGTGCTAGTGCGTTGTGGCACCGTGGGTAATGGAAGGGGCTTTGTCCTTTATTAAATGATAAAATTTTAATTTTAGACACGTGTCCGACACTTATTTAGACCGTTTCTACTATTAAACAACAAATATTTGTTGACATGTGATCAACAAAACTTAAAAATTTGACTAGTAAGTATCTTTTATTATAAAATAACATATAATTACCCATACTATATATGTTGAAGTTGTACTCAAAATACAACAATAAAACCAAAACATGCATAACAATTTTTAAAAAAGAGAGATTGAGAAAATGAGAGCAATCATTTAAATTAACTATGTTGACTAAGTAATGTTGTCTACAAAATAAATTGATGATTATTGACTATTATGATGCTTTATTCTAAAAAATTACACTAAATGACAAAACATAATATTTACGTATTAATTTTTTTTATCAATAATATATAATTATCACTATATTTGCGATATACTATATAATTTTATATTTAAAATACAATTATCTATAGAGTGTCCTCAATGTGTCCGTATACTATTTTTTTGAGAAATGTCATTTTTACGTGTCCATGCTGTGTCGTATCCATGTCCCGTATCTGTGTATGTGCTTCTTAGCTTGAGAGGCAAAACATTACACATGACTGTCTAAAATTTCAATGGTGAATGTAATTGGGCACCACATACAAATTCAAGCTTGATGGGTCTAATACATGCCACAAATATGGGTTTGGATGGGCCTCAATTTTCAAATTCATTCTTCATAGACTTTTTGAAACCACATTTGTGCAATTCGCAATGTCAATTATTTGAGAGCATACATATCCTTTAAAAAAAAATTCCTATATGAATAAGCTCACCATTACTAATTCTTAGCAACAAATAAAGTGCATACAACCCCACTGAATGATCACAGTCCAAATCATCAAAATTGGCATAATATACACCAAGGGGTTCCATAATTTGTGTTCATATTTTGGCTCACTAGACTCTTATTTCACTTTGGAAATATCCATTCCAACCATAGCAAGAGATCTTGTACGACACTGAATAGACAAATCAACAAAACCATGACAATCAAAACATCTTGACTAAGAAATACGATTAGTACTCCTTTGAGAAGAAGTAACACTATTCTGTATGAGATCTCAGAGTAATTAGAGCAAGAATACTCTTGTGATTTTTTAATAGACTTACATTAACTTGCAAAACTTCAAGCTGTATGCGCCACATAATATCTCACAACTGTCTTCTTTTTCAACTCGTCTTATCTTTTATGCATCTTGTATTTGTCATAGTATAAAGTCAACTTGCAGCCAAGCTCAAAAGAGATCTGTGAGTTGAGTACCTACCAATGTTACCTAAATTGTGGGTCAATTTGGTACATGGTACGACGTACGCAATGCGATGGGGTAAGCTTAGTTAATACATTGTTTTAGGGCATTGTTCAATTTAGCACACGTATCCAGATTACATGCATAATCATATAGAATTATACATACTTATACATCCATATATACATAGTTAACTACTATTTATTCGATATTTATGATAGAAGTTCCAAAGCAAACCATAAATCCAAGATAACTTTCCGAGTAATGGTTAGAAATACTAAAATGTATAAATATCCCCAAAATAAATACATAGTATTAAGGATTACAATTTGGAGTTAGGTTTGAATCTGAGTTTACTGTAGGTGGATTTGGGAGCTGAAAATCTTAGTGAAGTGAATAGCAATCCGACCACGTATCTGCAATCCCAATATCCATAATCCCTACCTATACAAACAATGATCACATCTTCATGCAAAGAAACCCTAATAGTATAACCACACTATAGAACTTTCCAGTATATTCCTCACCAAACACTTTTTTTGTGTCAAACATGAAAATTGTATGAGCTCCATACTTATAATTAACGTACACAACATCGTGTTATACAAAACCTCGAGGTATCCCTTAATCTATAATTAGCGAAATGGGTGTGCAATCAAAGTCTTGCAATGCCCTTCCATTTAGCTTTTACAAAGACTACTTTCTTCTCATCTTTGAGATGGTGTACCATATGAAGAAACTCTCTAGGCTATGAAGCAATAAAGGAGTGCCTGTGGATTGTTCGCTCCATGGAATTCACCAATCTCAAGTTTAAGCCCATTATCCAAAACAAACCATCTTTAGTCTTCTCAAGATGGAGCTCATAAGGGAGGCACTTGTACAAATCAATCGATATTTGCATTCTTCGCAATTCTTTTGCCCTTGTATCTAGCACCAAGGTTCATAGAATTCCTTTAAGCTTGTTTAACACTTCCACAATGTCATTTAATGAGACTATAGACACTTTGAGTGCATTTATCCTATCATATTGTACTTGAGATAAAGACTAACTTTGCCACTTTGATTAGTGTTGCTAGAGGAGAGATCTAATAATTTCCGAAACAATCTTTGGTGTTTACCAAAGATTTTTTGTACTATGGAATTGCTTTGTAATTTTAGGAAATTAGAGAGATAAATGTAGAATTTTTAGAAACTTTAGGGTTAATTCTGGAACATTAGAAAAATTCTAAGATACAAGGAAATTTCAAAACTTTAATGATGGATCGAGATATTAAGAAGAATATAGGGTTGGGTCTTGGTTGAGTTAAGCGCGATTGGGCTGTTTTTTGGACAAGGTTGGATCAAGCCTGGATTTGGATCTGGATTTGGATCAAGTACTCCCAATATAAAAATTTAGAAAGTTCTAGTTCTACCATCTAAATTAGTCAAAATATGACACTTTTAACAATTAAACTATTTGCTCCAGCGATGGAACGAATAAAAAAACGGTTTTTATTTTTTAAAACTATAGATGGTAAAACGACGTCGTTTCATTACCCAATGTTTGAAAGAATTACTTCTAATTGAAAAGACGTCATTTTTTGGAAAAAATTCAAAGAAAATTTTTTTGATCTGCTTCGTCCCGTATCGTATATATTGTCTTGTATCAGGTGTATCGCATGATACGATGCAAACCAATACATTTAAGCGATACGTATCATTTTTGTTAAGAGTATTAGACTAGTATATGTAAATTGTTAATAGTGTTTGGGTATTATATGTAAATACAAGAGGATGTATGTGTAATTCTTATTATTATGAGTTAACTATAAATACAAGTAATTTATAAGAGTTAGGTTAAGTTTTTAACCTCTCTGTTTTTCTTTAATATTGTGTTAGTCCTCTACACTCAACATAGTATCAGAGCATTACGATCATAAATATATATTCTAAATAAATTAATTTTATTCATGGTGGTGGTACTGTTGTTTGTCAAAGCATCGTGGTGGTGGTAGTACTGTTATGGTGGAGTTGTCACTTGCTGCAGTGGTGGTATTGTCGCTCGTTGCGGTGGTGGTGTTGCTCATGGTGGTGGTGTGATACTGTTAGCCATCGTAGTAATGGTGGTACTGTTGTGGTGTCAATCTCTGTGTCGTGGTTGGCTTGGTCGTTCGCCGTCGTCTGTCGCTTGTCGTGGTGATGAGGCGCAATCGAAGACCAGGGTTGTTGTCGTCGTTGTGGTGGTGTGGCTGTTGTGGTGGTTTGTCGTTCGGCGTTATGGTGAGGCGCAGTTGAAGAACAAGGTCCTCTGAAACCATAATCAACG